CGAAACGTTATCATTACAGAGAGACAGACGAAAGTAGATAATAGTAAAAATTGCGTCGCAGTGACTGGTTTTGTCAGAAGAAGAAATAATTCACAATCAATGTGAGTTTCACATTTGTCAATGGAATAATTTGTTCATAGTGAGCTCGGACATTTAATATTAGCTAGGAGTAAGTGAGAAGAAACAGTAGATACTTTTTGGAAATGAAATGTACATGAAAAGCTCAATGATAATTAGATTTCTGTTTGTTAAGTTGTATCCGAGGGCACCTGATACTCATTTACCTGATACCATCGCTTGCGATCAGATGGAGTAGTATCACGGATAAATGTTTTAATGAGAATATCTGTTGTGACTATCCAGAAAAAAGTACATTCTTTCTCTTGACTACTTCTTTATTTTCAAATCAATATCGTTCGAATACGCCCACCTTCTCTCTCAGTATACAAGAAAACAATACATATGTACATGCTGTTGCATATCTCACTAATAAAAGTTTCATAAGTAATCATAAAGAGTATATAATATACAAAAGAGGAATCAAATCGAAAAAGTGATAGAAATAAAGAATTAGTTCTGTGACTTCTCACGTAATATCATTGAATATCGTAATGTTGCTGGTGCCAAGCTTGATCGATTCTTGCGCTGTATATAGCCAGCAATACTGAAGGCACTTTCGCATTCAATGGATGTAGCACACATGATGTTGTATTTGCGGACTATTGATGCTAAAATTGGTAGTCGAGATTGGTTCTTTTCCCAGTATTCTGTAAAATCCCCATACGTTCCATGGTTAGCAACATATTGAGCTAGTTCTTCTTTAATTGCCGATGGTTTTTTAGGCAAATTTGTATTTGTTGATGATAATTTTCGTACTGGTATACCACATGAAATCAAAAGATTTTCTATTGGATTGAGTCGATCATTTGGATCTTTAACAGTTGAAGCTGTTCGTATAGATATTGATAAAGGATTGGTTGATGATAATGGTTGAGAATTGATTTTTGCAAGATGTCCTGTGGCTATGGTACAGATAATAGCCTCCGCTTCTTTCTTATCAGCACATGTTAAATAGTGGTATGTCATTGGATCGAGAAATGACGCCACCTAGAAGAAAACAACAAAATTGATTAACGTTATTTTTTGTTCTGAAGCAGCTCTTGGTAGGTAGAGTGTATTGAACTTAGTATGCGTTCTTTGATAAGAATATTGTATCATCAACTCTATTAAGTTAGAAATCCTTGATGATATTCAAAACGTTGATGTACAACGTAACCGTTCAGATTTACATAAAAGCTCTCGTAACAAAATTCAAATGAATTGAAATTACATTTCAGAATCAAACATGTGAAAACTAATGCATATACATGGACGAAGAAAGAAACTTTATAAAAAATCTTCCCAGTCAAAGAACATTTTATTATTCCTTTGATATATCTCTTACTTATGGATTCATCTTTTGCTATTTGAGTGAGACTAGAAAAGTTTGCCAAATTAAGTTTGGGATACTGCTGAAAAGTGAATCCGCGTCAATCAATTGAAGACTTGATGCTATTTAGTTTGAAATATCTACTTGATACGTACCAGTGTTGCACGTAATTGTTCATCGGTAATATGCTTCTCCATGTAAAACTGATAAATAGTCGACAAATGTTGTTTCAATAAAATCTCTAAAGTCGTTGGTTCGTTTTCGTCCACAGTGAAAAAATTTGCTAAAGCAATCATGATCGTCTTGTTGCATGACAAAGTTGGCCGCTTTCGAGTTGAAAGAGCCATTGTTGAGTTATAAAAAGGAAGAAGTATTGTTTGAAGTGTTTCGAGGATTCTCCATTCAAACGATGTGAAAGTTAATTTTTTCAGCTTCTGATTTTGACGTGGAGTCAAATTCATTCGCTTTGTCAAATCGTAAGTTAATGAACATATGACAGACTTGTAAAAAATAAATCGAGATAACATAGCATACGTGGACGACCATCGAACTTTCATATCGAGCGTGAGTTCCTTGAATTTCATGTTTTTCATCGATGGATCATTCGATGCGATATTTTGATTATAATTATCTATTTCCAATTTCATTTGTTTAGCAACATAGCGATGTAACACGCTTGATCGATGAATAAATCCTACTAATTTTCGAACACGTTTAAGAAGTATGTGAACTTTTTTCAATAAAAAGGTTATATCATGAGATGCTCGATAAAAGAAATCTTCTTCATCCATAACCTGTGATGTTGTCGAATGCAAATCATTTTCAGTTTCACTTTCTGAAGATGACAAAACTGATTCATCTTCTGATGAAGATATTGATGTTGTAACAGTACCATCTTGATCTGATGATGTACTACTTGCACTATCATCACTTAATTCTTCTGAAACTTTATCAACATTAATTAATAAATCGTGTTCATCATCATCTATTGAAGAATATACAAATGAAGTTAATTCCGGGGCAGAATTGCTTAAGTTTGACACTGTTGTTGTCGCTGAACGTGTAATCGAAGAATTTGTTGATGCTGTTGTTGTTGCTGAACGTGCAATCGAAGAATTTGTTGATGCTGTTGTTGTTGCTGAACGTGCAATCGAAGAATTTGTCGATGCTGTTGAACTGGAAAAAACTCAATTAGACTATACACATCCCACTGATATGACTCTTCCTAGTATCCTGTGATCGTACTTCCTGTGTCAGCACTAGCGTATAAGATATAGACATGTTTTCATTGAACTGATCCAAGTTAAATTCATTACTTTATCACTAATTTCATTGTAGAAAGGGTCAGAATAATTCATATATTTAGTTTTGAAATATTTTATGTAAATGCTGTCAAAAACCATTGCTGTGGAATTATGACTGCATTGATGCATTTTCCATTGAGAAAGAGATATTCAGTGTTAAGATAAATCTACATGCTATCCATATTTCCTACAGTTCTGCGTTTCTTTTTCTGTCAGTTGAGCAAATGAATGATTTTCTTACCTTTGTGTGGCAGGCATTTCGAACAACCAAAGACCATTGCGAATGACCAAATTTAAAACATGTAAAAAGCAAGAAAGTTTCACTCCATATCCTGATCTTGTTGCTGTACGCACATCAGGCCCATTATCTGTTGTTATTGAGCATATTTTCGATCGAATTCCCAGTTTTTCGGTTTCATTGACTAAAAACTTGTTGATTCGGTCGGCGGAATGAGTTCCAACGAAACGCCGAAACGTAATTATATTGGATTGATATTTGAAATTCTTATCATAGTAATGAGCTGATAGACAAATAAAGTGGTCTCTCCTATTGCTTTGCCATGCGTCCACCGACAAAGCTATATCAGAAACTGTTGACAATTCTTCTCGAATGGATGATCGTCGTTGTTTATACTTGACTTTCAAACGTTTAACGACTGTTCGTCGATTCGGACCACGATAACCTGGCACACCTTCTGCTAAAAAACCTTTCATTCCGGATTTGCGAAAAACATTGAAAACATGAGCGTCTTGTACAATTGCATTTACTGCAGCAGCATCCAGCTTTTGTTTTTGTTGAACGGATATGGTTGGTTCTTTTCTTGGCTGTCGAATTCGTTGAGAAGGGTAAAGAAATTTCTCCAATTTGTGGAAACGTCCTAAATGACTTCGAAGATTTGTATCCGATAGCTTATTCGAAGCAGGAAATACCTGAAATAAAAGAGATATACGTGTATGCTTCTTGACATTTTGCGATGAGTAACAAATCTCTGGCTCGTATGTATATCTATCATGCGCATACGATTTATTTGTACTTGACCAAGAATCTTGAGTAATTTCATATATGAGACATGTAAAAACGATGCGTTCTGTTTCGAAAAAAACACGCACTATTCTCTTATTTTTTTTTTAAATTCTCAAATTTTGATTGCTTTTAATAAGCGAAATATTATTTTAGAAGAGAAATTCTCGATATAAATGGAACTCACATATAATCATCAAGTGACATTACGGAAGAAAATGTTATATTATATAGAAAGCTGGTCATTTTTTAGATTTTTATGTTATTACGAAGAGGTATTGATGACCTGCCTCAGTTTAAATTGTAACATAATTTATTATATTACACGCATGATTTTTCTAAGAAGATAAATCCTTGTTGACTACTGCCATAAAAATAGGCGAACTGAACTTAGTGATAGGTCTAAAGATGAAGTGATCCAAGTGAGTCTATATTCAAAATAGTTGCAGAAGCCCTAATATATGCATATAAACCTTGGCTAAGTGTTTATGTCAGAATCATTTTAAATATTGATAATATTGACAAACAATAAAAAAATTACATATTTCGAGCAATGTGATCTGTAGAGAAAGTATTTCTTACAATCAAAAAAAAATTTTCAAGAGAAAACTCTGTCGGACATGACTTGCATGTAATTCAAATAAATATTTACTTTAGATCCACTTGGACAGATTTTACACATATATTCACCAGACGTCAACGTTGTGAAATGCTGTAAAACATCGTACTTCGATTGAGTTGTTGTTCTTTTCAGATTCTTTTGCTGTTCACTCGGATCATTGTTACGCGTATCGTCGCTGGCAAAAGAATGATTCAATGCAATAGATGTTTCTTCTTTTTCTTCATCATCTCCTTCATCTACACCTTCTTTTGCATAATCAGCTCCTTCGTCCTCAGCGTCGTGTTCATGTTGATCAGAATGATTCGAATCATATCGTTCTTCCGTTGTTCGATCATGTTCATCATTGATTTCAAGATCTGTACTATCCAATCGGTTGGCAACTGTGTTTGATCTTTTTGATTTCGACTTGGAGTTTATATGACTATCGGTCTTTTTTTTTCTTTTACGGGATTGTTTTGTTGATTTGACAATCTGTTTGGTGATTTTCGTCATGGTGGTGGTGGTGCGTTTATTTTTTTCACTTTGAATTTTTGAAGATAAATTATGTGTGTTCATTAATGTTGAGTTTTTCCGAGCGTTTTGACGAAGTGTCGGACGAGATGTAGATTCTGTAGGTAACTTGTCCTTATCCATAATGTAGCAGTGTCTCTTGTACGAAATTACGTTGAATGTTCGAATTCGTTATGATAATGTTAACTGAAGATACAGACTTGTTTCCATTTAAGAAAGTTGTTAATGAATCAATCTATGCTGTTTCTGTAGTATATTCAATTGTCGTTTAACATCCATCCATCCAATAAATCTGTACAAAATTATCACCGTATCTAACCACTGTTTTAGAATTCCACAAAAACGGTGCTCGTCATCATGCGTTTGTTAAGCCCGACAAATTCAACAAGGTGTTTTACATAAATGTAAACTGTTTCAAAAAGCACTATACAGAACATGTATCTGCTATTCGTGCAACAAAACTCTATGCAACTCACTGACTGCATGTTTGCATTGATGATAAAATATCTGTTCATTATTTTCTCGCTAAATATCACGGCTGTATAGAACAATCTTTGCCTGTTAAATATTATGGTTTTGTAAATCTGCAATTTTCTTCTCCTGTCGGTATCTATTTAAGGTACTCTCACACACTAATATTTGCCGCATTAATTGTTAGATTGATTAGATAAAGCCAGAGAAAGAGTTCTCCTTAATTTGCGGAATAAACTAAATCCATAATCATCGATCAGCGAGCAGAAAGCTCGTGCTGAGTAAATATTTTCTCAATCTAATACCTTACAATAGACTTTTTGACAATGGTCCCTTCAAATACTTTAATGAAATCTGGATGTACTTACATCAATTCTATATTTAATTTAATCTTGACAAATGTGAAACTCACATTGATTGTGAATTATTTCTTCTTCTGACAAAACCAGTCACTGCGACGCAATTTTTACTATTATCTACTTTCGTCTGTCTCTCTGTAATGATAACGTTTCGCGATGGAGTAAACATTAGTTGCTTTATATATATGTATATACTTTTCGCTTTCTTTGCACATATTTCTTGATCTTTCATTCATTACACAGATTTAAAATCTTCTTCACACCTATTCAAAACTTTTGTGAACATCCATTCAAATAAGTTTATGATATACTAAGGGTTATCTATGTAATATGTCGAGATGTATGACAAATGGATATGATTAGACTACAGAAGGACTTGGTATTACATGCGGATGAATCGCAAAATATGATCGTACTCGCTCGAAAAGATAAGGTTTAAAAATCGATATCGAATCCTCCTCTGACAAACAGAAAGTATTATTATTTTTATTTTCTTTATTGTGATTTTGTAGTGTTTTAGAAAAGTAAACTTTTTAGTGCAATACCGAGAATTATATTGAGTAACTAAATGGTGAGAATCAAAATGCACATTTTAAGATATTAACTTTAACTTTGATTTTTAAAGTAAAGTTGAAAAGTGATTTTACTTTAACTTTAAAGTTAAAGTTAAAGTGCTTTACTTTGCTTTAAAATTTTAAAGTTAAAGTTTTACTTTAAACTTTACCTACTTTGATAAAGTAAAGTTAAAGTTAAAGTGTCACCCCTACTGTAGACTTGGAAAATACGATTCGAGTGATAACTACAGTAGAATTTCACGAACTGTGCAATGACGTTTAGTCGACATTTTTCACCTCTTTTAACTAATACGTGAACAAAGGCCCACAGTGATAATGCCTGATCCTATTCGAATCAGACGATATATCTATTCTCTTTTGTCAGTCATATGGCAATTCGTCATCTATGCAAAAATCGTAACACGTGTTGTTATGATTATCGTGATCTTACTGATTTTTAGTTTTCACGTTTAGTCTCGTGTTCGTGGTATCGATTCGTGATAGTCGACGCGCATGTGGTTAATATCAATGATTATTACACTTTGCTTTTCTCTAGAAAAATACGAAATGACGGACGACTTAAACGTCGAAGAAATTGTCAAGCAATTACGCGCTGAAGCGAAGATTCAACGAATCAATGTATCAATAGCATGCAAAGAACATCAATCGAAAGGTGCCTTTGCCACTGGCCACAAAAACCAACGAGATGAATATGAAAAATCAAAACACTATCTTATTGCATAAGCTCGAAAGCGTTCATTTTTCGAACAAATAAACAACATTTTTCTTTCTTCATTCTTTTTGATCGTAAATAAATTTATTCGATTTATGAGAAATAATGCACAATTATCACAGATTATGATCATTAACGATTTGTTTCATCCCAATTGTCAAACCAACTATCGATACTACCAAGTAAAATTTTAACGATGTACTGAAACAGAGCAGAGGTGAGACAATAATGAAGAAAAGTATCGTGGAACCTACATCACCAAAACTAAATGGAGTATTCTTTCCTCGACACGCTTGAATTTGTTGTCTTTCACTACGATAGTCATCAACAACATCGAGATTCGGAATTCTTTTGTCCCAATCATTTAAATACGCCATTGATTGATCATCATCTGCTAGAATAGATCATATCACAATTGACATATTCTCAATTGTTTATAATCTACCTGTACAAACAATAATTGTAACCGGAATTCGATCGATTGGTTGACGTTCATTTCTCAACACATGTTCTAACGTTTGAATGTCCGTGCGTTCTCTTTCATCGGTTGGTATGCCATCAGTAGCTAAGAGAATTAGTAAATTTCGCTCATAGACTTGATTACGTTTGTCTTTAAGTACTTGACGAAGGACAGGAACGATTGGTGTTGCACCTAAGGTGATTACTCGTAAAGAAAATCACTATTGCTTTGATGAAATTATACCTTCTGGTTCCATAGCGAAGATAAATTCTAAATCTGATGAACTACGTACATTCAGCATAGGTTCACGATTGAGAAAGTACACATCAACACCATCAGAATCAAGAATGCTCGCTAGATCGACGACGATTGATACAGTTTGTTTCAATTCATCCCCTAAGGTTTATATTTCAGTGTGGTACTTATGAAATCAAAAGGATTCTTACAGCGTGTTCTCTGACGTTCATATGGATTGGAGGCGTCACCTATACAAAAAAAAACTGCTCTCTTTGTTTTAATGAATAAGAAATGAATCATTTACCAATAGATGCACTCATAGAACCTGAATCATCGCAGATAAAAACGATTTCATAGCCTTTCAGCTTATACAATCGTTCAGCGAAACTTGGATTGACTAAAAAGATGTAAATAGTCGTGTGTTTAATCATCTATTACAATTACTTTCATAACGATTAATAAACTGATTGAAGTTAGGCGTACGTTCTTGAGCTGGATTTTGTCGGTTTACGTTCGTCACCGATTCGTAAGGTGGAGGCGGTGCAGAAGGTTTCGGATTCATTGTCAATAACACTGAGTATATTTAGAAATGATTATTACGACGGCTTTCGTTTGATCAAGAATGCAAGAAATGCAATTTTGTTTGAAAATTCAATCTACCATTGCCATATCGTTCTCAGCCAATCAAGTGCAGAAGATTACATATTTGTTTCTTTTCGCTCAAAGATGTATGAAGTAGGGAGACATCTGTAGTAATAGTCTCAAGCACACGAGTTTCTTATGAAACAATATTCGAAAATCACTACTTTTCGCTCCATCCGAATCATATGGTAATCACCGCACAACAAATAGAAAGGGTGACTTATCTCCAGAAACATAAGAATTCTTCTAAATATAGAACTCGTTGTTTTCTGCACATATAACTGATATTGGCAAAAAACAATCTAATTCAACATTGGAGGAAATAAGAAGTTCCGATGAAATTAGGAACTTATAGGATCGACTATGTATTCAGCAAATGGCATAGTTGTTTTTCATCTCGGGATGAACGACTTCGTGGGAGATGTTTACTTCCATTCGGTATCAAATTTTCAATAACGTACATTCTCCTTAGAGCGTGAGTGTTGTTCTCAGTCTGTTTCCGTATCGATTACTCTAGGCGTCACATTTGGTAATGTTAGTAAGTCAATGGCTATTTTAGCGGTTCGAACAATATTCTGATCTCAATGTCTTTTTTATAGTAACAATACTGATGCAACACGAAATGTTCTTTACGCTCAATCAACAAGTATTTGCAAATCAACTAACTTCTCTGTCCCACTTTGGGTTCGTTTCAGTTGGAATGCAGGGATGCAGATCGTGACATCGCTATCATCAGCTTACCGATGCGCTGCAACTTATCGTGGATATCTCAATGATGCAGATCGGATAGAATTGGGACAAACCAAAACGGTTTTGGCTTATTTCTATGATAGATATAATGCGTGTCGCTGGTCTACATCAATTTCGATAACCAATTGTGACGATTATATGTTTATTTATCATTCTATTCGTTTTCTTTATTAAATATATAAAAAATGGAGAAGTCATTTAAATCTCACCAGAGAACCAACCTTTATCACCTGCAGTTCTGAAGTAAAAAGAAAAGAAAGAAATGCTTTCAAAATGAACATGTTTCTTTCTTTTCTTACCGAAAAGGCCAATTTTTCTCAAAATCCTTCATCCACTGCTCATCCGACCACAATTTTAAATCCACATACGGTGGAATAGTTAAATTCAGTTCTTGCATTACCATACTCATCACATCATCACAACGTGCGAATATTCTCAACGCACACCGACCATCATACGGTGTCTTCTGTAAATCTAAACACAATCACATACAAAGTTCGGTCAGAAAACAACAACAAGCAAAACTTACTGACGATAACCATCTTTTGTCCGCCTTGTAGATTCATGCACGGAAGTGTACAAGCTGGTGAGACTCGCATGGATGTTCCCATACATAAACTCAAATCGCATATTTGTGATTCATGAATTGCTTTATTCAAACAAACATCAGGCATTGATTGTGTAAAAGCGACCGTTGTGCAACGTAAACGGCCATCACAATCCGGAACTGTACATTTATTTCCTGTCAACCAGGTTCGGTGTTCATAGCCACTGACACGCTTTTGTCTATAATAGATCTTGCCACATTTTGCACAAGCTTCGCAATTTGCATTTCCATGTAGTTCAGCAATTCTATCTGGTGCGATTCCACTTTTCAGGTGAAGACCGTCACAGTTTTGCGAAACCAAAAACTTCAAAATGTTTCGCTTCATCAATTCCACATATGCCATGTGTGTCAACGTCGGTTCAGGATTTTGAACGGTTGGTCGTGGTAAAACGATACCTCGAGCTTGTGCTGTCCAAACACCCGTTGGTCCACGAAAATCATTGATACCGGCAGATGTTGATATGCCTACGAAAGATTTCAGTTTCGATGGAAAAATAACCGATTTGAAATACCTGCGCCAGTGTAAACAACAAAATGTTTCGAATCACGAATAAATTGTGCTAAAGTTTTGATTTTCTTTTGCAATTCATCTGCATAGGTAATTAGATGAAATTACTGACGAAAAACGAAACCAAAAAGTACTACCTGGAGTATCAAAGTATTCTTTAATTTCGTCGTCATTCAGCGCCGTATGTGCCATTGGTACAGATCTGTCAAAAAAAAACAGAACAGAACGTGCTTATACATTGAGAGAAATAGTTCATCATTTATGTTAGCATGTGCCTTCCATGCTTTGCTTTCTAATGTCAAGTATTTATGTGAAATAAAAACTGATGATAACGAAAGAAAATAAGCGATGATTCATACAAAATTTCATTTCTTTGCGCAACTACTGACACGTCATCAATAAGAAGTAAGAGAGTATATATTCAATACCTTCATAGTACTATAGTGATGAATCATTGCTGCTCTGTACAATGTGTGCATACGTAAGAGTAAACATGTTGCGAAAAGAGAAGATTAACGAAGCAAAACAAATCAAATAAACATGTGTCGATGGTTTGCATATATCGGCGAAGAGCCTGCTCTTCTAGAAGATATTCTTATTAAACCAAAGCATTCAATCGTCAAACAAATCGATGCACATTTCCTTCCGAATCTTCATACAACCTATGATCCACATGTTGGTCGAAAAATGTGCAGTTCAGGCGTAGCTTCTGATGAGCATGGTCCAAATCATTTTACAAACGTCGACGGCTTCGGTGTAGGTTTCTACACGGGTGTTATTGCTGAATTCAATGACGATGCTGTTGACAAGCCATGTGTATATCGAAGTACACGTCCACCCATCAACGATCTAAATCTAGCATCTCTCTGCGCTCATACAGCAACCAAGTGTATGTTTGCACATATTCGGGCTGGTACAGGGATGGCACCGATTGTTGAAACAAGCAATCATCCGTTTGTTTTTGGTCGTTACATGTTCATGCACAATGGAGTTGTAGCGAATTTTTCTCAGATTAAAGTGAAGTTGTTAAGCAGATTATCAGCGAAAGCTTATGACAATATATTTGGAACGACCGACACCGAGCACGCAGCTGCTCTTTTCTTTACGCACTTAGGTGATGATTGGGAAGCTGAGTTGTCAATTAAGCAATTGAAAGAAGCTATGATTAAGACTCTTCAGGATCTACTTGCTCTTGTTCATGAAACAATGCAAAACAATGAAGACGCTCGACTCCATAGCTCTTTGAATTTTGCTGTGACGGACAATTGTCATCTATTGGCAATTCGATTTTCGTCGATGGATGAATTTGAACCACCGTCATTGTACTATTCAACAACAGCTGGTCCAACACTCAATCGAAAGTATCCCGATCATCCTGATGGAAAAGCAACGCGACGCAAATCAATACGTGATACTCATGAGCATGGAAAACATGTTATCGTTGCCAGCGAACCGAATACCTACAAAGCAGAAGATTGGCATTTAGTTCCACCGAATTCATTTGTTCTTGTGAACAAAGATTTGGATGTAACTATTGAAAAAATTCAATTATAACTTTTCGTATGTGTGCACGTATACAAGCTGTAGTTGACTTTATTAATATTTGTTTTTACTAACAAAGGATGCGTAATGAATCCATTACAGCGCTTCCGCGATGAGGGCTTAGTTCAATAATTAATGTCATGTTGTTAACAATAGTAGATGTTCGAAAAAATGATATGTTAATGCTTTGAATAGTTTTTGGTTGGAGGCGATTCTTTCGAACGAATACAAATCCATCGGTGCTGCCTATATCTGAAGTAATATCGACTCCATCAATTGTATAGCTTATTTTCCATGCACTCCTTGGATTACCAATCGCAAAGGCTCGGATTTGAGCAGCATAGTCGAGCCATGAACTGTAATCGGCTACTTGAAGTGTATAATTTCGAGCTGTTCCAACAGGCACATTTGAATGAATAGTCATGTCTACACTGTTCGAATCTCTTACGAACACGTACTGTCCGACTTTGCCCTCATCAACGTATAAATCTAGTGTTTTCGGTATTCCATCTCTATGTTTCAATGCATAAAATGCCATGCCAGTCGTTGAATTTGCCGGATAGTCATTGATTTGTTCTGGCACTGCTGGAATTGATGCATCAGCATATTCGAAAATAATCCAGATATCGGGATCGGCATCATTGTCTTCATGACCTTGAATAGCAGAGATGCCAACAGTGAGAAAATCTCTCGTTGAATTGTATGTTGGAACGCCAGCACCATATGGGCATAGCATTACAGCTGCTGATTTACCTAGACGATGAGCAAATTGAACGGCAGAATAACTACCTTCTCGTACTTGTTGAAAATTAATTTGCCAAAACCCCAACGGTCCATCTGTTGAGACACCATCGGTCTGATTGATCCATGCTCGATACTGTGCATTTGAATAGGGCCCAGTACCAGCATTATTCGAGATATTTCCTGATAATGTCCACGGGCCAAGTTGAACGAAATCCGGTCGACGACGAACATGTTCAGTTAAGTTGTAATAACCTAAAATTTCATCACGTTCAACAGTCCATCCGTAGTTTTGACTTGTGTAAGTTATGTTCCATCCTACACGATGTAACACATCAATTGCTGTCTTGTCTTTTTCCAGTGGCTGATGATGAGGATCAGCATCACTTTCATAATAGGCAGATTTATTTTTAAAGAGTTGGAAAAAATCGGACAACTCATCGACTGTTAAGATATCATCCATTTCGATGAAATTCACGTAAAAACCATCGACGTTCTCTTGAACATACGTCCATTGAGAAGAGTTCGTTAGCAACTGTTGAACAAGTTCAGCTTCACCATAGTAAATTCTTTGGTTAGTCGATACACTCGCTGCAAATAATGTCACAGTCCAATAAATTACTATTAGCAGCAACATCTTCATGCTTGTCTTAAGATACGCCTGCAACGCGAGGAGATAAGGCTGTCCAAGGGAGCAAGGAATAGAAAAATAATCTGTTTTGACTCTGATGATAACATATCTCCGTTAAATAAAGAGTTTAGAACAAAAAAAAAACTTTGATGCGTAAACCCTATTGTGTGAGTTTCGCGACGATTATTATTAGCAAGTCTTGGATAGTTTCGAACACAGAAACTATTCGACAGTTTTCTTCTCCAGAACAGTGGCATCTGCGTCCTCAATATATCTTTATTTGACAACTAATTGAGGCGTGTCAACACATGACATCAATACATTTAAGCGTACTTGGTACACAGTCGACATATAATTTATTTCAATCTCAGAAAAGAAGCAGAAGAGATAAAAACATTGATATCACCGTTTCTCAAGCAAAAAATTCCAGTTTTCAGACAACACCAAAACAAAGAGAACTTTTCAAACTAGAACACCGAATCACAAAGCAATGCAATTGCTCGAATGTGTGCTGTTAAAGGCTGTATAATTTCACTTCAGAATACTGAACGCTATATGTCGGGTTTCTGTTACCATAAACTAAGAAACGATAGCTGGAATATTCGACTGTGTTACTAAAATATTGTATTGAACCACACTTTTCTCGACCAGGATCCATAACTATCCCACTAGTGCCTTTGTAAAGCAGAATCCAACTGCTACCAAGAGTAAGATTTTCTCCTCTAGCATTACTGCCTTCTAATGACACAGCAGTTGGATCACGAATTTTGCAGTCATTAGCTGTGCAAATTTTCAACCCATTGACTAACGTTGGACCACGTTCTAATTCCAGGTATAAACCCGTGTACAAACCACACGCGCTGTCCGGTTTATGTCCTTCATAGCATGATCCAAAACTGAGATATTTAGTTGACAGAAGACCATCAAATACTTTCTCTGGTGATTGTTCTGGTATGTATCCACCTTGTCCTCTGCCAGGTGTTGCGTTCTTGCTATTGCTACCAACAGATGTATTGTATACACCAATAACGTTTCCTCGAACTGCGCCCAATGGTATTGGATCTAGAAAGCAGATTATTTCTGACACTTTGAAAGATGTCCTCGAACAGAAATATTGAAAAACTATGTCCAAGCTGAGAAGTGAATAAATGATAGAACTTCAACAATATTCTCAGAGTAGAAACTATACCTGGTTCTGTTGTTGTGGCCGTGGTCGTTGTTGTTGTTGTTGTTGTGGACGAATAATTATTCTTTTTTAGTATTACCGTTGGAGCCAAAACACCAACGATTACCATCGAGATAATCACACCCAATAATGTCACACACAGTACCTCTCTTTTGAAATTCTGGCAACATCTATAAGAAAGCGACCTTGTGATTTTATCACTCAGCACTACTGTACATACTTGAATGATGCGTCCTCCTGTTTAACACTTGTTGGACGTGTCACTTGGGAGTCTTTTGAATTACACTGAAACATAAAAATCAATCCAATTAACATGATACTACATCAACGTGACATGGTACATTCTGAGCTTCAATGACGATTTGCTTGTGACTTTGCATGTTATTATTTTGAGGCCGTGTGCGTAATTCAGAATCGACAATGCATCAAATAGCAATAGAATAACACACATGAAGCAGATGTATCGCCCAAGCTAAATGATTAATGCTAGATGTCGGTTATCGCAAAAAAAAGTTCAAATATGATCTAGGCATACAAAAACATTTGTTTTAATAAAACTTGCAATGTTTTCCATGTTTCTTTCAGTCTAATAGAAGCGTGGATGATAAAGACATAGGACAATAACAAAGTGATACGCTTGTCCTACTCTATTTCTTTCATAAAGCTTCCACATATCGAGTGGAATTCCTGCATAGCGCTATTCTATGATGGTACGATATCGTAGAACTCCTCTAATAAATGGCAATACTTGCAATTAGAATGTATCTTAGCATAGGGCCTTAGGATCATATTCGAACTACCAGTGATTTTCATTCGGCTGTTTGGATTACATTGGAAAATCTCTTCTATTCTATTCTACGGCCAAAAGGTATACCCCACAAAAATATTGAAGAACTACTGATAAATCCTACCCAAACTGAATTTAGCTGCAAAACAACATGCAAAGAATACTGCCGATTACTTTCATTTAAGACAATATGGCATTGTAAATGGTTTTATTCGAACATCTGGCATATAATTTCCACAGATATACGTATATATGTCGTATCGAAGTTAGCTTTTTGTCGAAGTTAATACTTCGATAGAGATTGACATCGAAGTTACAACTTCGACGGAGCAACTTATCGAAGTTCTCGTGTCGATGAAAAAACTTATCGAAGTTATTACTTCGACAAAATTCTCTATCGAAGTACTGTAATTGCTCAAACAACGGTTATCGAAGTTTAACTTCGATAAAATCAGCTATCGAAGTTGTTACTTCGACAGAAA